GTATGACTATATTGCCTGCATGGATGTAAGTGCACTCATGTTGTGCAATGCCTACAGAGGTCAGAAGGGGGCATCGGATCCCTGGAACTAGAGTTATGGATGGTTGTTAGCTGCCATGTGGGTGCTGAGAATTGGACTCCAGGACTCTTAAATGCCATGTCTCCAGCCCCCAGGTTATAACTCTTTAGATAATTTCTATGCTTTGAATATTTGGCCCTTCCAAAACCCATGCTAAAATTTAGTTGCCATGGTAACAGTGTTGTGAGGTAGGCTTTTAAGAGGTAACAGGCTATGATGACTCTACAGTTGCAGGTGTGTTAACACTACAAATGGAAAAATTCATCTCCCTTTTGCATCTGTCCCTTCTGCCTTTTGCTAGGGGATGACAGAGCTAGAATACCCTCACCAGAGGGAGACACCTTCACACACATTCCAGTGGCCAGAACTCTGCCAGTGAATTTCTGCTCATTATAAACTTGCTGGTCTCTGGTGATCTGGCAAGCGAAAACACACAGACACAACTTTCACCTACTCAGCCATGGGTCTCCAAAAGCACAACCTTCTCATCAGGTTAAAAAGGTCACAGGACTTCCCAGCTCATGATGGAGCCAAACCAGCTTTTTACCAAGAGGACTTGGACCATTGACGGCATCTAGGTTTGCCATCTTGGGCTTCATCCTTCCTCAAGTTACTATCATTTCTTGGAATCACATGTTTTGACCTCTTTCTCTAATATACTGATATTTCTTTGACCAGTAAAATTCTGTTCCCTTCCTAAAGTGCTCCCAATTCTCACACAGAAAGAAAAATAAAGTCCCTGGTTCCTGGTTTCCACCCAGGGAACTCCTTCCCCAGCTCCAGGGGGACAAAAGGTCATGCCTTCTAGGCTGGCAGAGTGTGCACTGTGGTCCCATCAGCCAGCAACACTTCTATCACACTCTGAATCTGTTTCTCAAGGCTCTCGCTGTGCATCTGCCTTGAAATGACTGGGGAAGGTGGTAGTTAGGCTTCAAGGCTGCTTTCCATCTTTCCAGGAAATCCAGAAAATCAGTGTGCAGTAATCCTTATGCTGATGATTTTTTTTTTTTTCCTACTAGGAAATCTGTTTGAGTTTGCAGAATTTTGAAGTTAGAAACATACTCCTTGTTTGCACCATTCCATGGAAATCAGACAGGATGGTTCTTATGTCACTGAGCTTTCAGTGACTGGCCCAAGCTCGATAATCTCGAAATGTAGTAAGGGTAAATCCAGAGAGGCCTAAAGGAGATGCTGTTCTGAGCAGAGTTTTCATATGCAATCCAAGATCATGACCTGGAGGGACTTGCAAGCTAATGGGGCCTTTCCAATTCCTTTGTCTCCTCAGAGACCGTGAGCTCAATTTATGAAAATTTAGAGGTTGATACTTCGTGCTTTATTTTGTGAATGTCATAAATCTCACCTACCTGGGGACCTGGCAGATGTCTTTCGGAGATCATTTCTTACAAACTGTGAATGTCATAAATCTCACCTACCTGGGGACCTGGCAGATGTCTTTCGGAGTTTTGATCATTTCTTACAAACCTGATTCTTTGGACAGCTCCTGTGTGCAGGCAGGGCCACGGCCATGTTCCTGAAATGGTGTTGGAGCTCAGTGAACAAGGACAGAGCAGCGAGGGGCCTGTTTGATTAGAAATCTTCTATGTTCTCAAAACCTCCTGGGGTGTGTTGGGGGGGTGGAGTTCTCGCAACAGAGGAAGTCCATTGTCTGAATTTAAACATTTAGAGGTGCATAGATATGCCAAGTACATTCATGTCATTCATTTTCAGGGGGAGGAGAAACGTCAAGACCTAAAACTGTAGTCTTGCTCTCTGACCTAAAACCCAGACCCATTCTGTATACAGTGAAGCCGTCTGAAGGCCTCCACCACCTTCCGCTGCCCCATCCTCTTTCCTTTACACCCTCCTGCTTTCCCAACTCCCCCCCACCATCCTTCCTTTCCACCTTTTTATTTTCTTAAAACCCCCACTCTTCTTTCTCTGGACACCTTCCCTGACTTGGAGAAGAAGACATATTTCTGAAGCCTTGGCTTTGTATCCTAGTGTCCCATCGAGTAGGCTCCTTGTCAGTAAATGATAAACGACACCTGTCTTCACCTTCCCCTATACATAAGGAAGGGCAGCATCTCATAGTGCACATTAGTTCTTTTCTTTCTTCCTTTGGTGGTACTAGGGCTTGAACTCAGGACCTTACACATGCCTGGCATCTGCTCTACCACTGAGGTACAGCTCTAGTCCATTAAAAAAATTTTTCCTTTGGGACATGGGTTTGCCAAGTTGTTCAGATTGGCCTTTGACTTCCTCTCTAGCCTAGGGAGGCCTTTGACTTAGAGTCTTCCTGCCTCATCCTCCAGAGTTGGGATCAGAGAATGACACCACCAAGCCCACCTACCTGTCATCTTGTCTTTGAAGGTTGGAGACCATATACTTTTCTCATCTCTAGGTGTCTTGTGCCTGACCTTGAGGAAGGAAAAGCACAGGGAATGCGAATGGGACCCTTCCATGTGAGGAAGAAGCCCACACAGAGGGGGCAGGGGGGCAGGGCAGGGCATCTCAGGAAGTGGCTTTGCCGGGGAGAAAGCAGCCGTTCTTTCAGGGTGTCAGGAAGAGGGAACATGGCTTATGGGTGGAGTATCCAAGCCTGGATTGTCATCCTTCGGGAAGACAGAATCCTCGTGGGGCCGCACGGGCAGGAACAACATCACTGGTGCTCATTGCCAGCGATGGTGTCTTCTGATGGGTGAGCCTTCCCTTGCAAAGAGACATGTTCATAATGCCTAGTTCAGCAGTGACAGAAAATGACACTGAGACCCATAGGCCCTGCTAAGTACCCTGTCCTCAGCTAAATGGGGGCTTGTGGGACTAAGGGATCTCTAGTGTAGATCACTGGGTCTCTATGGTCTAGTTTACCATCTCCTTTTAGTCAGAAGAGATTCATCTCCATTAAAGACAAGGCCAATGGAACTTCATTCAACAGAAAGTACTCAGAATGTCATCTCTGAGCACAAATGAACAGTCACCATAGTCTACACAGAGGCCTGAGTGTGTCAGGTCACAGGATCCTGATCTGTTTGGTCTTCTTATATCCACAGTGCTTGCAAGAGATTGGTGTGTATATGCCCATTTTTCAAATGGAAAGCTGCTGTTATAAAAGATGATGTCACTTCCTATAAAAGGAAACAGATTGAGCTGCTTTGCCAGCTGCCCCTCCTGGCAGAATACGGATCATGCTGCTCTGACCTTCAGAGTATTTACCCCATCCATCCTCTGCCATGTTGTTGCTCTGGCTTGTAGACCAACCAGGCACTGACAACGACTGGGAAAGGGAAAGGGGCAGCACAGCAAATCAAAACAGAAGACTCTATACAGTGCAGATTGTGTTTAAAAGCCATATCGACCTGAATACAAAAGGTCTGGCTAGAGCTGCATTAACACTGTGATTTTATTTCCTTCCCAACCACGTGCAAATTAGAGCAGACAAGTCTCAGTGACCCTGCAAGCAGGTGGGATAGTGTGTGGTTTGTTTCCCAGCTATGGAGCACCTGGTTAGATTTACTGTGCAGTGGAGTCCACGCTGGCCTCTTGGACCTTCTTCCCGGGCCCCACTCCCTGGGGCTGGGATATAAGCCCTTGGGCAGAGTCTGTCTCTGCGAACCTTCTTGGTACTGTCCACCTTTTCAGTCTTGCTCTTTAATTTTCCCCCAGTGTGCTGTGTAGAGAAGTGATTTTTCCACAGGAACCAGTGCGTTTCATCGACTTACCTGGGGCCTCCTTTTCGGTTTGATGGTTGTGAGTACAAGCCGACGCAGTGCCTTGCCATGGGGAGTATCTTAGCCAAGTCTGCTAAACAAAATATCATCAACTAAGTGGCTGGTAAATGACGGAAATATGTTTTCCCCAGCTCTGGGAACGCAGTTTGAGACCAGGATGCCAGCATGGCTGGATTCTGGAAAGACCCACTGAGGTAGCCGACTGAAACCTACTGTACCATCACATCGCACACAGAATGAGTGGTTCATACTCCATCCTTCTCTTAGCAGGGCACTAATGTCATTCATGAAGACATCACCCCTGAGATCCTATCACCTCCATGGACCCACCTTCACATGGCACCACAGGGAGGGTTTGTTTAAACATAGGAATTTGGGGAAATTAACAAAAACAAACTGGCCTCTGATTCGGGGAGCATTAGACTCTGTGGCATACTTATCCTGGGATTTTGCTTTGAGCATTAAGGTACAGAACACAGTTGAAAAGCTCTTTGTAAGATAAAAGTTTCATATAGCTGGAAATTGTTATGAATGAATAATCACTGCTTTATATAAACACTGATAATGTTTATCTTAAAATGGCGGAGAACATGATTTCTCACTGTGACGTTTATGTGGTCAGCATTAGGAGATGTTCGTATACTTCATGCCCATAATAACCCTGGGCAGTGAATGCACGAAGGTGTCTTAATCTCCTAGTTTACTTGACATTGAACTTGACATTGAAATATAGCTTAGGGATTATAACATAGAACACCGTGAAGCGCAGACCTAAAGCACTCGATATGCAGTAAAATTAGAATCTGGCACTTACCTATAAGTCTAGTCAGAGCGTTCCTCAGATCACACCCAGTGGGTGAACATTTTTACTGAGAGATGGGTGCTACAGGACCAGGAATTGCTTGTAGAAGGGAGGAGCCTTTCCACTGTATTCCCCACTCTCCTTGTTTCCAGGATGGAGATGGAAAGAGCCAGACGAAGGGACATGCAATCAGACACTGAACAAGCTTCTCCTGAGACTTAGCTTACCTCCATGAACACAGGTCTTCCTGCGATGGCATATAATTCATGTGTCATTGTAAGCTTTGGAAATTGTTTGAGATCAAAATGATCCCAGGGCCAGACAGACACCTGATGGGCTGTGGGTGCAGGACTGTCCTGGAATTCACAGCGCCTGTTGATTTTGTTTTGCAGAGAGCAACAGCGTGCATTCAGCCTGTGTCCACGAGAACGCCGTGCACAGCCGGGTCTTCCAGATTTTATACAGGAATGAGGAGGCACCCATAAATGATGCCATGGTATTCCGAGCTCATTTACTCTTAGATGGTGAGAGGGTAAGTCGTGATCTCTCGCCAGCCACACTTTCCCTCTTGACTGTCCTCTCTCATAGCTGGGTTCAGGATAAGTGAAGAAGTTACCGATGGTTTTCTGAAATCTGACAGGAATTTGTGGTTCTGCGAATCCAAGAACTTACTGATTGTTTTTATTCTTTCTTTCACACACATCCCTGCCCACTCCATTAAGCCTCAGGTGCAAGCAATGTCCCCTGACTGACTTTCTGTTACTCATTCCCTGCTTGCTTGCTCATGAACCTCTGCCCAGGCAGGAATATCTCAACAAATGCTTTTTGACTACCTGTTCTTTTCATGGCTCTGGGTTGGGCCATTGGGCAAGACACAGAAGTGAAGAAGGCTTGGAGGGCCTCTCTCTTTGAAAGGCTGATAGCTCAAGCTAGCGTGTCAACTTATAATAAGCATGTGTCCTGCTTAGCAGGTAGGCTCCACTGACCATAGGGAGAATGAAATCAAGAGACGTCATGCAAGAAGAAAGAACTCTGGGATGTCTAAGCAGAGCCTGGCAACAGTTCACAAAGGAGCAGTCTTTCAGACGCATGTGCTAAGAATCCATCAGATATGGGGAGTGCATCCATGGAGAGGAGAGCAGGCCCAAGCACTGAAAACGCATTGGCCCTTTAGTAATTTTGCTAGAAGCCTGACTGAAAAATCCTCATTCATCAAATTAACACATTCTGAAGGACTGTCTGGAATCCCCCCAGTTCTCACTCCCCCAGTTCCATCTTGAATTCTTGTTGCCACGTTCTGGCTGATTTTTCACAATGGAAGAGCTTATGAAAAGGCATCCCTCGCTTGACATATCTTAAAGTGCTCCTGCTCACAAGTCCCCTGTGGTGTACAGCAAATCTCCTACTGATCCTCTGGTACACTTTCCTGTACTCGGCCGTTTGCTTCCTGTCCACATCTTTTAGGATCTCGTTAGTGAGGCTGCTCCCTTTATAGTTAAAAGTAAAGGGTGTTGTTCATTTCTCAGGCGTTCACCCACGTATCAAGTTAACTGAACACTTACAAAGTCTGTGCTGTATGCTGGAGATGAAGTAGCAAACAAGAGACTGTCCCTGGTACTTTCCAGCTGATCCTTTACTGTTAGATGAGTGCATCGGGCATCTTGGCATTATTATTCCATCTTAACTGCATCACAGTCCGGCTTCTGCCCTTAACAGTTTAGAACTTCTCAAGTTTTAGCTTGTGAGAGTGTTACATATTAATTACCATTGATAGGGACTGTGTTTCTCAGAACAAATTGTTTTCTCAGAACAAATTGTTTTCTTCCGCATGCCAAGTTACTTTTCTCTATAAGCTTAAAATTTATTGTTGTGTTAGGGCTGACTCATATGAGAACAATGTTACAACTAGTCGTTACATCCAAACTAGGCACAACTGAAGTGAACAGGATGTATCTGAAAATCTGTATAATCGGAATGGCTATGTTACCACTTTTCGAATAGATATCTATCCACTTGTGTAAACCAACCCAGTGGTTAGAAAGTGTGTTCATGGACGCCAACGCCAATAATGTGGGAAGCAAGTGCTTGAAGAAAGGATGTCTACGCAACACACACACCATAGAAGAACCAGTCACTGCCGTGCAGTCGTAGACAAGTACCAGATATGGGTGCAAACAGAAATAACCGGCAGCTGAGGAATAGGAGGAGGCACTTAAGAGTGAATGCTTGCAAAGAGGGACTAGAGGCACTGTGGGTGTTTCACACATACTGCAATCCCACATCAGATTTAGGCAAAATTATGACAAAATAGAGAGAATTATCATAATACAGAAAAAACAGCAACATAATGACCCGGAGAAAAAGGCATATGCAAAAAAGGAAGGGACGCCAATCTCAGGGTACATCTAGCAAAGCAAATGTCATGTGCATCCTCTGGGCATGGCTGATGGTGGCCCACGTGGGGAGTACTAAGTTCCCAGTGCCAAGGCAAAGAAGAAGATACACGGATGAACGGAAAGTGGATGTAAACAAGGGTGTGTGTCATCGGGGTGTGAAAGGGAAGCATATTTCAGAGCGAGAGGCCTTCCTGCATGTGCGACACAGAACTTTGGCAACGCTTGTGTAAAATGTTGGTTCCTCAGCTGACCCCAGACCTACTGCTTCAGACAGTAAGGGGACAGGGAGGCTGATCTGATTCAGAGTATGGGTAAGTAGGTCTGGGTGGGGTTTCCACAGGAAACAGTTAACAACGTCTATGGCTTGGGAGATAGCACACTGAAAGGCTATAGACCAGTAGATGGCGAATAAGGGGAAGACAGCATCTTACCTAGTGGCAAAAGAAGTGGACTGATGTAAACTAAGAAAGTTCAGGATATGATATGGCTAGCCACAGTGACCTCACAGAATGCAGCATGATTACCTTGTTCTAAAGGTGGGAAGCTGTGGGGATTCGGAAGGAAGAGGGATGAGACGGTCCAAGTCATTTGTGTACAAGCATCAGAAATGAGACCAAGGGCTTGAAGGTGATTGCTGCTGTCGCTGTGTGAGTGTCAGTGAGCACGCAAGGGAAACGGAAAGTTAAAGGTGAGCCACAGACCCGAGTTCAGTTATGTCCAGGAGACCGTGGACTCCATGTACAGAACACTGCCAGCGGAAGGCAAAAGTGTAAAAGTGTCCATGATCCTGGAGATGCCCTTGATAGTCCAGAGAAACTGAGTCACAGGAACTCGGGACTAGCTGCAGTGACCATCACCCTGGTCTTACCACTAGGAGCACCTCACATTTGTTAGGTGGGTGCTGTGCTATTGCTGAGTGCTTTGTCATTTCTCATTGAATCATTGTGACATTGTGAAGGCCATTTGATGGATGAGGGTGCAGAGATTTAGAGTGTTTGTTTCAGTCCTACGTCTAGGAAGTGACAAAGCTGTGGTTTAAACAAGGGCAGTTTGAGATGTATGTTTCCAAAGAGTGTGAAGGACTGCCGTGCAGGCTTGGGGAAAGAGCAGGTCTTTTGTGTGTCCAGGCCCAGTAGTAAAGTATAAGTAATGACAATCATTGTAAATAGCAACATTTGAGATTTGTCAACACTTTGTGCACATTTTCTCATTTAGTTCGCTAGTTGTAATGATACGGAGGAAGTGTATCTCACTCCTATTTTATGAATGAGAAACAACTGAGAGTTAGAATGAGTGGTGGAACCCGGATTCACACTCGCAATCTGACTTTGGAATCTGCCTTCTCAGTCATCAGATTAGAGTGGCCCTTGGGAAGGAGGTGAAGGGGAACACATGAGATGCTCTGTGATGCTTGGAGTTGCCACAGCCAGGGTGAGAATGTGCCACCTGGAGCCCAGGTGCCACGTGAACCGGACCAAAGGGGCAGTGCAGTAGACACTCACCAAGGGCTGAGCTTGAAAGTGGCCTTGCCCCATGCGGCCTCAGATTCTTCACTTATAAATGCAGGAGGATAACCCTTCTTCATCATTTTTCTCCAACGGCAGTCTAGCTTATTACCAACCTCATGGTATTATAAATATTATACATTTGTAAATGTCAGTTTCTTTTATTGTTTCCACTATACAAAATTTCTTCATGGTAATTAGAATATGAGGCATGTAAGGATGATGTTTTATCTGAGCTAAGACCAGGTGAAGGAAAGCTGTGCATGTATGTGTCTATGTATGTGTGTATGTATGTCTCAGAGTGTCTGTGTGTGACTATCGATGTGTCTGCATATATGTGGGTCTCTTTGTGTGTATGTTTGTGTGTGTATATGTGTCTGAGTATTAAGTATGTATATATGTGTATTTCTGTGTGTGTTTGCCTGTCTTTGTGTGCATGTGTGTGTGCATTCGTGTGTGTGTAAGAGAGGAGCAAGTACATAGTTAACAGCTAATCATGAAGGGATGTTTCAAAAAGGCAATGACTTCCTTCTTCAGTGTATTTATGACTGGGGTATATCCACTGTGTGCAATGATGGGCTTCCTAAGACATTCTCATCTGAGCACATCATGTACTCTGACAGTACTCAGTGCTTTATGCCGTCCCTCCCCGCCTAGTACCTTCCTGTATTCGTAGAAAACCCCACTTGTACTTACATATTGTAAACATCAAAATCTTTTTATTCATATCTATAAACTCTAGAATCCTCATATGAAAAAAATGTGATGTCCTTCCCTTTGAATTTCCAATCCCGTCTACTTGCCTGCAAATGATATAATTTTGTTCTTCTTTTTGGCTGAATAAAACTCTATTGTGTGTATGTGAATTATGTATGTACACCCCACATTTTCTTTATCTGTTCATCTGTTGATGGACATTTAATGACTTATCTGTTATGAAGTATGTCATGGTATCAGGAAACATGTCTATGCAGGTATCTCGTAGCTAAGATTTACTGAGGTGTTTAGGAAGACCTAAGCAAGCTCGGAGTAGCCTCAGTTCCCAGAAAATTGCCTTCAGTGAGAGCTGCATGTCGCAGAGCGCTCAGCACCCAGGCAAACGCAGCAGAGAAGACGGCTTGCGGCTCACCTCTCCAGTCTTATTTCCCAAGAGAGGCGCCTGAATGCTGTCACGGTGCACACGAAGCCAGATCCGTGACTACGCACACAAAGCCAGGAGAAGTTATTTATAGCATTTGGTTTCAGCAAAATGTTAGCTTTTTAAAAGTTTTTGTTTTTAAAGAATAATTTTTTTAAAAAATTTTATTTATTATTTTTATTTTATGAGTACAAGTGTATTGCCTGCGTGAATGTGAGAGCACCCATGTTGGGCAATGCTGCAGAGATCAGAAGAGGCTTCAGATTCCCATGGAACTGGAGTTAAGGAGGGTTTGGAGCCACCCTGTGGGTGCTGGGAATTGAACCCAGGTCCTCTGCAAGAGCAGTTAGTGCTCTTAACCACTGAGCCAGCTCTCCAGCCCTAAAGAATACATTTTAAACCCCAAAGGCCTGAAGATAAATTTTGTCCCTAATTCCCTGCCTAAATTATGCTTAACCAAGAAGATATTTCCAGAGAGGCCTTAGGAAAGGCCACATCTGTCCTTATGCAATGAATGTATTCTCACTAAGAAACACAAAGTCAAAATAGGTGTGTGGGTGGGAGGACAGTTTTAGTCCTCAAAGTGCCTTTACACTGCCTTTGTGACTAGGCCCTCTCGTGGGAGGTTGGAGTCAATAGTAAATGAAGAGTAGTATATTCCTTGATGATGAACAGATTAGCCAGGACATTGGCAAGAAAACAGCCAAGGTGTTTAGCCTCAGGCAGATGAGAGCTGTCAGTGAACACAGTGAACCAGTGGTACATGCAGGAATTATCTGATCTTAGCAGAGGTAACATGCATCAGGCCAGCCTTGCCAGATCCAGGATTTTTTTTTTCAGTAGCTAAAATGTGCAATACCAATGTGAATGTGAAATTACCTGAACTTTCAATGTTTGTAACTTGTTCAAAACACTTTTTAAAATATCATGGGGACTAAACAAAACATGTCTACTGATGAGATTTGGCTCCTCAGCTTTAGGCTTAGAGGCTCAAAACCAGCCATGGTGATCAGAAGTGCTGAATGGGAGGGCAGAAGGGGAGCAAGGCATTGTGGGTAGCAAGGCATTGTGGGTGACAGGCAAGGGCTCCATCCAGCCTGGGAGATGGCAGAGGCTGCATCCTGTGACAGGTGCAGTGCTTAGTTCTGGGTGTGTCCACCGAATACACACGACGCAATCTTGTTTCTTCATTCGGCTCCTCAAATGTGAAGAAAGCAGGCTGGGAGCCATCATTTGGGCCTGTTATGGAACCACTGACTTATTTTTTAAGCAAAAGATAAATGAAGCCCCAGATGGAAAACAAAATAATGGAGGGGAAAGGGACCGTGATTTAACATAGTGACTCTCAGGATAAAGATGAAGGAGCTGCTTTCTTACAGACTTGAGTTACCTTGGACATTCCTTAACTGCAAGCCAGCTTTCTCTTCTACGTATGGGCGTGATGATGCCAGTCATGGTGGGACTGGAAAGTATGCAACTGCCTAGCGGGCCGGCCTCCTCTACACATGTACACCATGACACCAGTCATGTGGGGACCTGGGAGCATAAGTGATAACTTCATCTCCGACCTCCTCCTATTGCTGGTCAAGTTCTGGGTTTCACTAGCAGTTCCCTGCTCCATCCTTCTCACAGTGAGTTCTATGGTGCACTTTGCTACTGCTTGGAATCCAGGTCGGATCCAATGGGAAATAAGACTTCCAACAGCCTTACAATAAAGATAGTCTTGTTTTTACTCAGTGGGTGCGTGAAGTACTCAGCTCACCGCTCCAAGGAATGGTTCCACCTACCACTAAGATGGGTCTTCTCACATCAATTAACCCAGTCAGGATGATTCCTCAGTGGCATGCCCAGAAGCCTAATAACCCTTCACAGATATGCCTGGAGGCTTGTCTTCTAGATTATTCTAGATCTCATCAAGTTGGCAATTGATATATACCATCACAAGGACACTTTTTAAATACTTATTGAAAATATATGTATCAAGCTGGCTACAAAAATTTTTGTCTTCCGTGTAATACTTCCAGATAGTCTGCTTACACAGACGCAAGGAGATTCTGCTTTAAGCATTAGTGCCACTTTGTGGTGAGGTTTTGTTCCTTTATATTATAATTGGATTATTATTTGACGACTAAAATCTCTTGGACTTTGTCTTGCAGGTGGAAGACGCACTGAGTGAGGTTGAGTTCCAGCTCAAGGTGGATCTTCACTTTACAGACAGTGAGCAGCTGTGAGTGTCACAGACATCCTTGAACTGTGGCAACATGGTGTCTCCCTTCACCACCTTCTTCCCTCACCTCCACCTTTGGGCCAGGACCCTTAGAATTTCCTGGGATAATCAGTTACCAATAAGCCGCCTTGACCCTCCATGGCTGCAGCTTACCAGGAACATGGGATAAACAATCCCCGGGGGTCTAGGAAAGCTCACGCACTGGCACTTTGATACTGGTGGCTCAGGGCCTGCACATGGAGAACTGCTGACTTCTTGCTTTATCAGTAGTTACCTCATCATGCTCTGTGCCTTTTCTATATGGTGGCGATTTGGGAGTCTTAGGGTAATGTCTCCGTGAGGCCACAGTTCTGCTGGGATTCCCTCTGGTATTGTTCCTCTGCTCTCGAAGAACTGAAAGCCTGTGTGCGTAAAACCTGCAAAGGAATGCAAGAGACCGCTCTGTTCTTCCACATGACTGATTCCTTTCTGTTTGTCCCATGGCCACTCTCTTCCTCCCTCCCCAGACCGAACTGTCCTGACACTTATACTTCCTTACTACAGTCTTTCAGAAATTAAATAACTCACATTTCTCTGAAGTATTAAAGTCCAGTTAAGTGTGACATCAAGGCCCCAAATCCCCCTTCAGTTTACGGCTTCTTTTCTATCACCCACTTTTCTGAGACTGAGGTTTCTTAGGTTGGAGGTTTCTTGTGCATAAAAGGATACGTTTGTGGTGGCTTTGTATTTCTTCCCTGCCTTGCTTTGCCACAACTTCTGTGGCTTGTGATCAGTGACAGGGAGGACAGGATGGAGAAGTTGCAGAGACTCCCATGTGAGTGCCTGTGAGCAGGGCCCTTCATAGGGTAGATGCTGACTCACCCTCAGAGTTCTTAGAGATCGAACCACTGTCCAAACCCTACCTCGCCCCTGCCCCATCCTCACAGAGTTATCTGATACAGTGAAGCATCCTGTAATGGATTACTCATGTGTTTCAGTGAACACAGATCTTCACCAAAGAACCCACATGTGGTCCATGGGAGATGCACAGTTATTTTAAAACCTTTCCCACAGTTACCAGGAGGCTATTCCTCCGGGCAGCTTGCTCCCCTCCAGGTTCCTCAGACCCAGCTGCTCTCCTGAGAGCTGTCACAGGGTGAAGCAGGTACCAACAACTCTGCTCCCACAGTTCCAGGGGACTCAGCGCAAGCTCCCCTGAGAACTGTATGAGAGGGATAACACCCTCCATCCCATTAGCAGAATCTCAGCATCCCCTGGCCACTCTCTGCCGCAAACCCTCACATCTGGTCTCTTCAAAATCTTCAACACTTGCATTACCTTTCCTTTTGGAAAATAAGAGACCAGGAGGCTGAAGGGCTGATGGTAGCAGAGATGGTAGTCCCCTTCCTTCAAGTTCAGACTCCCACTCCTTAGCACTTCCTTCCTACCCTTCCTCAAGGACTTTCCCATCCTTGAAGCCTGCCTAATTGTTGTGGGTGTCTTTCACAATGTGGGAAGCCGAGTCATGGTGGGTCTGAACCAAAGAGTGTCGACTGAGGTGTCAGAGATCTGGTGGTGTTTGTTCATTAAGAAGGAGCTTGTGTCAAAGGGTAGCTGTGGATCCCGGTCCCTGGGCTGTCAGGAGTGTCTCTCCATAGTGTCGACCATCACCCGTCCGGGACCCACTCAGTCTAAGGTCCCCTATGCTGCTTGCCTCCAAACCTTTCATTCATTGCTCCATGGTACACACGTCGGTTGACTGAAGAACCCTGCTCTTGATTACCAGTCTAGCCAAGAAATCTCCGTTCAACAAGCTCTTTCAGAAGTTTTTATGATAACTCACAGTGGATGCAGTAAATGTGATCTTGCCAGCTGAAGAGGAGTTTAGAGAGAGTCTGCTACAGGAAATTGGCCCTTATCAAAGTATGTAAAAAGCAACTTAGGCCCAGCATCATCAGCTATGAAATATGAGAGAAATCCTTGTATTTTTCCAAATCTCAGCCTTGCTTATGAAGTGGGCATTTTTATCAGGTCTGCCATGAAGATTAGGAAAGACGAAGCCAAGCGCATGGTCTGCTAAGCCAACGGCCTCGTCATCTTGATAAGTTCCTAGATGCAAGCAGAGCAAGGCTTCCACGTGTCACCCCCCTCTTCCTATTACACGGCACTTCATAACAATCAGGGCGGGGGCATTTGTGAAGCATAAGGTCAGCTGGGAGAAACGGGAAGCCAGGAAGATGGGGACATCACACCTTTTCATTTTCATAAATTGGATTTAAGGATGATAAGGCATGTGTGGTACATCCTAGGGGTGGACGTTAGCCTTTGAAGCGTTACTAAGTCAGCTAGATGGTTTTCTTTTTTCTTCTTTTTTGAGCATCATGTAGAAAGCAAGCCAAAAGGGACAAAATGGAGAAGCCTGATAGCTAGTCAGAGTTGGAAGGACTCTTGAGGTCCATCTCTCCTGCTGACTCTCCATTCACTGGGATGATGCTACTCCTGGGCTTTGGACTGTGTCCATTGAAATCGGAGGTGTCAGTGATGCTGGATTCCTGTGGGTGGAGAATGGAGATGCTGCTGACCAGTCCGCAGTACGCAGGACAGCTCTACTCCCTGGTGAAGCTTATTCAGTCCTCAAATCATCCACCTGCACTACTCTGCCATCCCACCTGCACATGCTTCTCTGGGGAGATCCATCTGCACTCCCAGGGGCAGGGGCTTATTCCTTTATTCCTTTCCTGTTACCACACAGCTCAGCAGATAGGAAATTCTCCTTTACTTAAAGGTGCAGTGCATCTTCCACTGAATTCTCTGTTAGTCTTAATTTTATTCCCTGCAAGTGTGTAGAAAAATTCTGTCTAGAAGATTTTTTCAGATAAGGAAAGTACTTTAAGCCAACTCCTCATCACCGGGTTAAACACCAGATTCCTGTGAGAATGCTTTTGTTGTTGTTTAATTTTTTTCCCTTTTCCTTTATAAGAAACTCAAGCATTTACCTTTCGCTGCTATCGAAGTTCACTGTCATCCTGTGTACAGTGTGATCACCCACAGGAAGTGGGCTTCTGCCCTGAGAATGGGCTCTATCCATTCAGAGCACAAAATAGTGGCCACCTCCCTCCTTTTGAGATATTTTGAACTTCTTAATACTACTGTAAGGAGCTTGTGTCTGAATGGACTCAAAGCAATATTGTGTAGTAACTCAGCACAGACAAAATCAGAAAGACCTGGTCTAGCACAACAGTTTGTCTTGTGACTGTGGTCAAGACAAATAATTGATACTATATTTACTTCCTTTTTAATAAGTGGGATACTATTAGTAAACACCTCATATGCATACCTTACAAAAGTAAGGGGAGCGGGTTAATAGTGTAGTAAATAAAGCTTCTGATCACTGTGGTCCAGATGAATGTGAGTATGGGTGCTAACAGCCCCCATGGAGGAATTCTCTTCACACTGCCAGGTTTTCTCTGATGAAAGATGAAGTGTGTTGTATATAGTTTACGTGGGAGTCACACTGGGCACGAGGGGTTCATTTGCTGGCATTCCTTTACACACGCAGCAAGGGTTACAAGGAGGGATAGTCACTGGGCTGGTTTTGGGAGTGTGCTCCCTTTGCCTCCCCTCTCCGTGTTCTGCTCACTTTTCTGTGGAGGAAGACGAGGTAGCTCTCTCTCCTGTAGCCCTGGAAGATGTCCACAGAGGCTTTCCAAGTGCCCTGTCCACGACAGTCTTCAGAGCTGGAGTGATTGATTCAGAACTTGTGATTCATGATGGTTCTCCTGAAGAATCAATCCCTTTCCCCCCAAAATATTTTATTATTTTTATTCTATATGGTTGAGTGTATTGCCTGCATGTGTGTAAGTGCACCCATGTCTTACAATGCCTGTGAAGGTCAGAAGAGAAGAGAGCGTCAGATTCCCTAAAACTGGAGAATGAACAGTTAGCTACCATGTGGGTGCTGAGAATTGAACCCAGGTCCTCTCCAAGAGCACTCAGTGCTCTTAACCACTGAGCAATCTCTCTAGCCTCAGAATCAATCCCTTTTGTGATAAAAGATGCTGCTGGGGCCTGCCTTCCTCTTGGCTGTCTCTTGTCTTTTAGGATAGAGCACATACCCATTGAAAGTGCTGGATCAGAGGGAGGGGAGCCTTCCTGAAATTGCTCAGACTCTTTCAGTAGTGTGTTCTGGATGCAATTTTTGCTTTGGTCCATTCAGTCAATCAGCCACTTACTTTAATAAGCACAGGTTTGACCACTTACTACAGTATGTCCCCATGCTAGGCGGTGCTAGAGATGTCAAGATGAATGACTCACAGCTCCTGCTTTTAGGAATTAGTTTCAACAGAAAGCATAATCCTATAATGTCTGTGCAGCACTGTAAGAATAGTGCTCAGCCTGTGGGGATGAGAAGAGGGAACAATGTGGTCCAGGAGGGCTGCAGTGGAGAGAGCAGCTTGGGAAGAGCTGGCCACCTCCATCGTCCCAGAGGTGCAGGCTTGGTGGCAAAGACAGCAGAGCCGAGTCCCAGTGGTGACCACGCGGCCTAGTCGATTGTGGGAAAACCCTTTCAACCAGGCAGAGTATTGCAGACCGGGTAAGATGATGCACACCTGTGAACAGGCGGCAACATGCTGCTACTTGAAGGGCGCTCGGTCAGTCCTCTGTGCTCACAGGAGCTCACTCCTTTGCCTTCCAGGCTGAGGGACAGGACTGGGACGCCGATGATCAGCAGTCGCACACTCGGCCTGCACTTCCACCCACGGAGTGGTCTGCACCACCAAGTCCCTGTCATGTTTCACTACTGCCACCTGTCTGTGATCTCAGTGACCGTCCACGCTGCCCTGGTGGCTTTGCAGCAGCCCCTGATCAGGTATGAAATGAAGGGAAGCCCATCACAGGTATGACTGACAGGCTTGGAGTTTCCCACGGGTGAGCAGCACAGAACAGAGATGCTTCCTGCAGGCTGTTGGCTGAGGTTTGCATCTCACTGTGAGCAACAGAAAAGGTGGCTAGAGAGGGCCAGAGGGACGTTGGGATTCCAGAGACTGAAGACTTGCAAACTGTAGTCAACCCCTGGAGGACTTGGATTCTTTTAAAAAAAATTATTATTTTTATCTTATGTGTATGAGTGTATTGCCTGCATGTATGTAAGTGCACCTGTGCCATGCAATGCCTGTGGAGGTCAGAAGAGGGCATCAAATGCCCTGGAACTGGATTTAGCCGCCATGTGGATGCTGGGAATTGAACCCCAGGCCCTCTGCAAGAGCAGCCAGAGCTCTTTAACTGCTGAGCCAAATCTCCAGCACCTGGGACTCTGCTTCTTACCCTGACTTCATGTTTCCCTGACTGTGCTTTGAGGGGTCACTTTATGTTCCTGAGCTGCATAATCTCTGTCTCTGAAACAGGAGCGCGAACGTGGCCCTTTTACATGAAGGCGTTTTTATTTTGAGTATTTACTACCTTCCTGGCTCTTTAACACGTATCCATATGATTTTATTCATCTATTCCCACTTCAGACACATATGTAATGTGTTCTGATAACTCTTCCCACCATCCTCTTTTCTTTCCCTCCCACTCCTGGGAGCCTCCCTTCCTCCCTACAAGTCCTTTGCTCATACTGCATTTTTGTTTAATTTTGTGACCCACTGAGTCCAACCAGGGCCTTTCGTATGAGGTTTTAGCAAATCCCAGAAAGGGATGGTACCAGGCACATAAAAAGGCTCCAGAGTTTTTCCATCTGCCACTCACTGTTTCTTCAGATAGAGGTTCACCTGCAAGGTTTTCTGCCCCTGCCCCTCATTGACTCAGCCCAGAGCATCTCCAGGGCGCAAAGCACTGAAGGTTCATGAATTTTATAAGTGGAGAGACACAGGTGATGATGACTAGAGCAGTGAGTGGGCTGTGCATGGCCATTCATCATGTCCCAGGATGGCTGGATATGTCCATTTAGATAATACAAAACATCCTAGACATACATGGGTAAAAGCTGCACATACGTCCAGTGCAATATTTAGGGTTAGAATCTTATAACACAAACTCTGAGGAAGGTAATTTGTCCAGCTCCTCTGTTCTAGAAAGCCTTTAAGAATGGACACATACGTATGAGAGAGCAGAGACCTCACCAGTTGTAACGCCCATGGTCTGTGAGCCCTGCTCTGTTAGGGTTTGGGAGCAGGAAATGAGATCCCTGTTCTGGGCCAGAAGATGTGACTTCCTCCCTTGAATTCTTGACCCAGTTGAGCCCATCTGCTGGTGATGTTCTCAGTGCTACTGGCCAACAGGTTCATTACAGATACTGAATAATCCCGGTAGTAATAGTTGACGAGTATCAAGGGACTAGAATCCAGAAACTGAAAACATTGAGAAAGGATGGGGTGGGTAGGCCTATCCAGCAGGGTAAGGTGATTCTAAGAGGCCAAAGGTGAATTGTACAGGTTTGAGGTAGTAGCAACTTATGACAGTGGAAAAGCCTGCAGAGAAGTTAAATCCGAGCACAGGAAAAAGTAGAGAGAATGGGGACTTGAGGGGTGCAGGCAGGTGGGAAGCAGAGGCTGCAAGCCAGGAACCATGGGCCAAGGTCAAAGAGTGCACGACCCCCCTCCCCCATGCTATGCTGAGGAGCTGAATGTTCTCCTGCCCAAAACCTTCTCTGAGCTGCTGCACCAAAGCTCTTAGATTCACTGATCTCCCAACTTGAAGACACTGGAGGAACATGAATTAGGGCTGGACGCTTTTCGTTCTTCTTCACTTCCGTGGTTATCTATCCACGGAGGCTACTGTGCTCATCAGAGGCATCAGGATGCACACAGTGCATCTGCTGAGGGACATGAAGGGTCCTCAGAGTCAACCTTCTCTTTGGAGAGCTCAAAGTCTGGCACACTGTTCCGGTGTGCATACGTTGACAGATGTAGCACGAGTGTGGCAGCAGAGTTTGTTAGGGAAACGTTACAGGAACTGAAGCACACAGGAGAGGAGCCCTGACAGTGGAAAGCTAAAGAAAACAGCATGGCAGTGACCCTGCAAAGCACCTTTCCCAATGGCTAGCTCTCTCTGATCAGCAAGCAGTGCTTCCGTGCAGGGCTCAGGATAGGATCTGTGTGCCAAGCGTGAGAAAGAGCAAGTGGCTGAATGTTGTGCTCTGGGATCAGCAGAGTGTTCACCTAGAAGCTAGGCACCAGCCCAGGTAGGGAAGGACATGACACCTCAGGGGTTCTGGGGCCCAGTGAGTAAATTTTCCCTCCAAAGCTAGAGTCAAGATCATCTTGTTCATCTCCAAGATATACTGTCTGGGGATCTTTGGATAACTTGTTCAATTCTGTAAATATCAGTTTTACCATATAAACACATAAACATATAAACAGGATACTTTTATGATTCACTCGTGATAGTAAACCAACAGGAATGCAACAAAATATATAGAAATCCCCACAGCACAAAATAGTGTGATTTGAGGCACTTTAAATACTTCTAGAAAAATGGAAACTGGAAATTCAGAGGTATATGGATCAGATCCCAGGCATTAAGAGACTCGGAGTCTGACAGTCATACAGGCGAAGCCCTCCAATTCAGAGTTGTCCTGTTAAATCGAGTGGTGTGCAGAGTATTGAGGGGCTTGTTAAGATAGGGGTTAAAAGAATGGGCTGGGGTCTGGGTGGCCCCAAGTATTAACTCTCAGCTCCTGCTCATTAGCTCTGTTCACTTTGTCATGTGGGATTTAGCTTTGGTGCATAATAGGAGAATTTAGACAGTCTCAGTGATACAAAATGTGGGACGCCCCTACCTTTGCATCCAATAGATTAATCTTTGCATGGCATCAACACACCCAGGCCACACATCTAGCACTGATAAGCACTTAACACATGGCAGGTGACATTCTGCACGAGGAAAAGCAGCTCTCTCCTGCCTCAAAGGAAAGTTTTACAGAGAAGTGATGACTGTTATGCTCCACCCAGGGGACAGGAGTGTGACAGAGAAAAACGAATTTGGGTAGGTAATTGGATCCAGAGTTTTATGTTGTAATTAACGATGCATCCAGGAGTTGGAAATGAATTGGTTGCGTATATGGAGTCGCTGAAGGCTTGAGCCAGGGAATACCCCCAAACACTGGCTCGCCTCATAGCTCTTTCCTGCAGGAGGGACAGGAGTGTAGCTAGGTGGACTAGTGAGAGGTCAAGAGGGTTCCCACCACCTGACCCACCTTGGGGAGCAGGCTTACTCTAGGGCTGCTGGGAGCTCCTGGGTCCTGACTGGGAGCAAAGACACCTTAGTAGAAAGTTTAGCCTTTGCTAGGCTCACACTCCTGCAAGTTTGCCAGCAGCAGCTTTCCAGATGGGAGCACAAGAGCCTCTGGAGAGTTAAACTTCACAGATGGGATAAAAATAGACCCGCCTTCCGTTCCCTGGGTTTTGCAAGGGGAATTTTTGTCTTGGCTCATGGTAGCTAGGAACAAAGGGAAGAAGCCCCTAAGCTTGTGGGAAATACTTGTCAAGCAGGGCAAGCAGCAGATTTTCCAGAAAAGCAGTCTTTCACAGAGTTAGATTCAACAAGGAGGAAGCAGGTGTGAAATTGATAATTAACCTCAGAAGACTCTTAACCTTCACTGAAAAAGACCAAAGAAAATAATCCAAATTTTAGCCTTCAAATGATTACAGCTAAGTTTCTCCGGAGGGGATCCCTTCCACTGAGGATGCCAACTAGAAGTCCTGCTTACGAAAATCACAGGTATTATAGCCCTTTTTGGGCAGACACCCCCTAAATTGTTTGTGATTATGTATATCACACACTTATTCTTTCCTTCTAGAATGTTCTCATTAATACAGATGGCTGAATGGTAAGTTTGTTTTATCTCTCAGTCAAAACAAATAACAAAGGTAGGTGTGGTATTGCACACCCCCAGTACTCAGGGGGTGAAACCAGGAACTCATGGTCAGCCTTGGTTACATAGCAAGTGCAAGGCCAGCCTGTGATACTTAAAACCCTGTCTCCAAACAAACAAACCCCCAACTCTTCCACCCCAAAATAAACAAAAATAAAATGAAGCAAGGGAAATTGGAATAGTATTACTATTGTATAATACAATTGTTCCTCAGTAAGGCAAAGCATCCTCAGTTACCCAAATCCCCATTGTTCATGACCCTCCTAAGAAATGTATTTTCATGCAAATGGAGAGATGGCTCAGTGGTTAGGAGCACTGGCTGCTCCTGCAGAAGAACTGGGTTTGATTCCTAGTGCCCACATGGCAACTGAAACCACCTATAACTCCCGTTTCCAGGGATCCGACGCCCTCTTCTGACCTCTGCTGGCATTGTACACATGGTACACTTAGATACATGCAGGCAATACATACATACACATAAAATAAAATTAAAATAATAAATAAGATGTTTTTTTAAAAAAGAAACTGTATTTTCATATACCCTACACACATTCCCATATGCCTTAAATCATCTCCAAATTACTGGCAACATTAATGTCACCTAAATTAGGAGATTAAACAAAATGTCACATGTGCGCCCATGAACATGCATTCCAGAGACAGCTTTTGTTTGGCACCAGAGCATAGCCTAGGCCTAGTTTCTACATAAGTAGCAGTTATATTCTGTTGTTTGAGGGATTAATTAAAAGACAGCATCTGTATACGGTCAGCATAGAAGCAAAACTTTCAGTTTATGGTGGGTTTAACCTCTCTTTTATAGCATTCTATTAAATTTTTGTTGTTTGACACATACACACATACACACATACATACACACATACATACATACATACATACATACATACATACATACAATACGCTTTGATCAAATCCACCCTTATTCGCTTCCCCCCAATTCCTCCCTCTCACCTCCACTACTTTTCCCTCTCACCTTCATGTGCTCTTCCTCAAACCCACTGAGTCCACTGTGTGTGTGTGTGTGTGTGTGTGTGTGTGTGTGTGTGTGTGTTAGCAGGAACCCACTGAGTCCACTGTGTGTGTGTGTGTGTGTGTGTGTGTGTGTGTGTTAGCACGACAATTATCTCAGGGTCCATTTCCCTGAAGAAAACTGACTCTTCCTCCTGATCAGCTGTTGATTACAAATAGCTCCCCAGCCAAGGGTGGGTCCATGCTAGGACTAGGGCTGCCTTGGCCTTGTGCATGCCTTGTGCATGCCTTGTGCATGCCTTGTGCACGCCTTGTGCATGCAGTCACAGCTGAGGCCTCTTGAATGATTTTTTATTGGCGTGTGTCCCAGTTAGCTTTCTATTGCTGTGATAATACACTCCAACCAAAACCAATTCAGGAAGGAAAGGATTTATTGGCTTACAGCTTACTGTGGGGGATGGTACCACTTACAGTGGGCTAGGCCCAAACACATCAACCAGCAATCAAGAAAATGTCCCATAGACATGGCCTCAGACCAACCTGATGGAGGAAATTGAGGTTCCCTCCAAGGTGCGTCAAGCTGACGACTGAGGCCAGGCAGCAGGGCTTTATTATCAGGAAGAGTTATTTGCTTTTATTTAATGTTCACTATTTTCCAGACTTTGCAGTTAGAACTGACTTTTGCTCCTCTCAAAGAGTCCTTGCCACGTCTCACGGCTGGGGTATATTACCAGTCCTTCCGACTGGTGGGCGACAAAGGATGTGGGCTATTCAGATCTTGCTCAGGTCCCATAGGTAGTGCGGCTGGTTTTCAGTGCCTGGCAGTGGGTGTGGGTGATGGTGCTGACTGCTCATGGCTGACCACACTGTCCCACCGATCTGAGCACCCAATGTCTCATCTAGTTTATCTCACAAACCTCTCTTCTCGGTGGCTTCAGTTTCTTTGCACTGCACTCCAGATTTTGGCTTATTTGTTTCTATCCCAATCTAGAGCACGGTGTGTTTAGGTAAGGGCCCCACCCAGTCATCTTGTCACTCTAGCACCTCATCCACTCTGGCCTATGCGTGAGACAAACAGTATTTGAATAACAGAATGGAATAGAGACAATGCCAAGTTGTTGCTCTGTCAATAAGCAGGATCATGAGTCTCCTGTCTGGTCTCCCCTAGCTCTCTTAAACAGCTAGAGTCAATAATCAACCCCTGAGACTATTTATCATGAATACCATTTTTGTTATAAGAAATAGTAAGTTTCTCTCTTTTTTTAAATTTTATTGATTTTTTTTTTGTGAATTTCATACAGAACATCTCAAACAATCTTGATCATTTTTATACCCCCATCTCCACTGGGACCCTCCCATAGCCTCTCTCTGGGTATTTTTTATTTATTTTATGTTATGTGTATGAGTGTATTTTCTGCATGTATGTAAGTGCACCTGTGTCAGCAATACCCATGGAGTCAGAAGACGGCTCCAGTTGCCCTGGTACTGGATTTATGAATGGTTGTTAGCTGCCATGTGGGTGCTGGGAACTGAACCCAGGTCCTCTGCAAGAGCAGCCAGTGCTCTTAACTTCTGAGATATCTCTCTAACCCCATTTCTCTGGGTATTAAAGCATACCTACTATCCGTAATATAACTAAGATGATGGGCTAAGCATGGTACAGGCTTTTGATTGCAGTACTTGGAGGGGGAAGAGCTTTATGATTTCAAGGTCAACCTGATCTACTTAGAAAGTTCCAGGCCAACCAGCAACCAGGGCAACGTAGCGAGGCTGTCTCTTGAAAAGATGAAATAATGACCCATTAGATTTTTTTTTTAACATGAGATTTGAAAGAAGCAAACAGAGTGAAAGTAGATTTCACTGATATGTTAATGAATAAAAACCAAAAGGATTAAGGTAGAGAAAATCACTATATACCCACATATGATAAGGCTGCACAATCACATAATTTCCCCAAATCTCATTTGAGTTCTAAAATTTGTCCTGGACAGCACATCTGCCTGCCACCTGACCCTTATAACGAATGGCAGAACTGGATAGAGTCTGTGAAGTTGCCTGTCAAACAGAGTACAGTGTTCTCAGTTAGCATAGATATGGGGAATGCCTTGTCAGTCATGACAGTCTAGAACATTCTGCTTGACTCTTGCATGGATCATGGATTATCAAGTCTACCACAAGAAGGCAAAATGTTCAAGTTGCAGGCTGAGGCTAGAAGGAGCTCATGCCAGGTGGTGTCCTGATGCTGGAAGAGGCTGGGTCCAAGAGCCCAAGTACTTGGGTCTAGTCTTGCTCTAGTCAGGTTTCCCTCCTGCCTCTCGAGAGTATGTTGCCCTGGAACTTGGCTTCACCATCTCAGCAGGTGTGCTGTACGTATGCAGGCATTAGGGCATTTTTCTTTACAGCTGTAGATGTGCTGTCATCCACAGCTTCCATACACACCTTTCAGACTTGCTGTTACATCATCCACACCAACCTGTGCAAACCATGGAAATCAACAGCACAGCTACTCAGTAGCACACCTCCGGGGCGGTCACTGCGTGGCTTTGCTCACCTCCTCTTTCTCCCATTTCTCTCTAGTTTTACTCGTCCTGGAAGAGGCTCTTGGCTTGGTAAAGGTGGCCCAGACATGGGACCAGAGCAGCCCCTCATTTCTCTGGAAAACTTAGTCTTTGGAGCTGGATACTGCAAGCCGACTTCCTCAGAGGTAATGTCCGCAAGGGGCCCGTGACCCCATGATCTGTAAGTCTCACCTTGCAGAGTGTGTTTTATGTGATGTGTACTTCTTTCAAATACCCCCTTAAGGCCATTGTTCACTATCCATCCAGTCTTCTCGTTCTCCCTGAAGAATGTCTCAAATACATTCTGAAGGTCGAGCCCTCTTCTTGGAGCTAAGGGCTCTCTGGACGCCAGAAAGTGGTACTGTGGGATTTTATACTGTTGAACACCTGTTGGCCTTGAGTCACTACTGCTTTCAAAACATGGATCCATCCACCTTCTGTTTGCTCGTTCTCTGAGTTTCCGTCTCCCTACCTGTAGAGTGAAGAAGCAAACAGCTGTCAACTCACAAGTGGCTACGTATACTCAGTATTACAGCAAATGTAAACTACTTAACCAAGTGCCTGGTGGTTTGCAGCTGCTCAAATGGCTTGTCTTCTGCTCCTTGCTTCTTCCCAAGAGATCGGTTGCCACTTTTCTGTAACATGCAGGGTTTGGCCACACACAGAATCACTGCCCATAATTCTCTTGAACACAAACGTGTGCATTTTTCATTAGTGGCTTGTTCAGAAATAACCAGCCTGTATTAGTCAAGGCATCTTGGAGACCCACAACCACAGGGACCATTCCTTCCTTGTCATATGGAATTGACTCACACAGTTGTAGAGGCTGAGAAGGCTCCAGGTCTGTGTTCAGTAAGCTGGAGGCCCAGGAGAACTGATGGCAAAAGGCTGAGTCCAGAAAACTGTCACTGATCGATAAAAGTTGGTAAGAGGGATGCAATTCTCTTTCATTGACTTGCTTATTCTAGACAGAACCTCAATGGATTGGACAAGTCATGTCACACTAGTGAGAACAGTCTCTCTTATCTCAGTCTTCTCATTTGTTCACATTTCAGTTTGAAACCCTCCATACTGAGAGTCAAAACAATATTTAACCACATTTCTGGACACCCAGACACATGGACTTAGAAATAAGCATCGTGTAGTAAACGGATGTGGAAGGTTCTCCTTACCAGCCAGCCCTGTCCATCTTCTGCTTCGTCTGGGCTCCACACTCACCTTGCTTTTCCAGGACATCTCCCCACGCTAAGACTCAGTCAGGAGATCAGGCCAGAAACACAGCTCAAGTCCGTCTGGGTGAAGGGCCAGTGTCGTGTTCTTATGGTCCTGTGGAGCCCAGAAAAGTGCTGCCCAGATTCTTCTCAGAGGTTGGGGACCTGAAACCAGAGTGGGTGTCAGTGCCCTGCATGTGTGGAAATGGCATTAGAGTACAAGAGGTCCAGTTTGCGGGAGGATTCCCATGACCTCTGAAGGACCTTTGGCACTCACTAGGCTTCTCAGAATGTGATGTACTTAAGCTCCTACATAGACCCTTGGATGGGCAAAGGAGAGTAAAAAGCAGGGGTCTGCCGCCATTGGATGGATATTTCTATATTATGTCCTGTGCGTCAGTGATGTCTTGTTCCATTATGGGATAAGGCCAGGATAGGCTTTCCATCCAGAAGGCCTGTGGCACACCCCCTGTCCCTGCAGTGCATTGTGGTGTGCCCCCAGGTCACCTCCCAGTTCCCCTGCATCAAAGAGCTTTTGGCAGGAGCAATCACTTCGTATGGCTTCCAGGCCTGGTCTGTTGCCTGTTGTGACCCCATCGTGGTTCAGCTTACCCTATTCCCAGCCTGTGCCTCCTTCATATCCACAGTATGCTAGCTCTGAGGGGCTCCTCAATAAGTCTACCCCCTAAAAGTCTTCAGCCAAGACTATTTCCTAGGGGACATGGCCTGAGACAGTCGTGATTGTATGCATTCATGGCTCACTTCAAACCATTTTTAGCAGGCGTCTTGCACACTGAGGACTTTACCCGGTGCCACCAAAGCATATGGCCGAGCTGTGATATGATGTCTGCCCTGAAGGCACTCTGCTGTTCCCTGCACATCCATCCAGCTGATTAAGACATATGCTGCCAGGAGAGTGTGCTCTGATTTCCTAGGAAACAGGACTTGCTGGCAGATGTTCTAAGGGTCTCTGGCTCTCCTGCACAGGGGCTCTGACTAGCCCCGAGTAGAGACCATCTCATTTAGCTTTCTTTCCTCAGGACCTAACAGAGCATCTGCCACACACAATCAGTGCTCGGGAAATGAATGTTGAATGAATGACAGACACAGTGTGTGAATCAAGCTGCACAGAGAACTGAACAGACGAGTCAAGTCAGAGCTTGCTCACTGCTTGACATGGGAGGGCACTGTAGAGTGATGGAGATCTCCAGGGGAAGATGAGGCCCCACACGAGGCTGCAGAGACCCTAGAGCTGGCACAGGGCAGGGCAGTGGACAACACAGATCACGTCAGCCCATTACAGATGACCCAGCACACTGTTCCTCTATTGTGATGTGTATCAGACAGGGATCTGGGTTCAATCTCCTGTTGTGAGCAAAGCATATGGAAAGTCAGTTTCCACAGCTATGAAATGAGAACCATCTTTGAGAAAGGGTTTCAGCAGTTAATATGTATAAAGACTGCAGAGCTGGATTTTGTGGGCATTTGCTGCAGTGCCATTGGGTTTTGTTTGGTCTTTTCTTGGTTCTTCCCAGGACTTTGTGTCAAGGCAAATGTGTGTGTGTCTTTCATAAGTTCAGATAGAGTGGCTGACTTGAGAGTGTTTAGCATGCCCCTGAAACTCAACTCACTGAGTGATTTTCTGTGCTCCGTTCTTTTATTATATACTTTCCGTTTGGATCCCATCCAATCAGGTGCAGTCAGTGCTGTGACCATCCTGCACCTTCCCACAAGGAAAGGCTATGAAACAGAGAATCCAATCTCATTTCCCCATTCCCCTGAGAGCCTTGTAGCTCCATCCCAGGAAGCTCAGAGCATTGGAAGACATTGCTGGAATGTTCATGGGCTGGCTGCTGTATCAGCTGGAGACATCCTGCGTGCATCAGAGAACAGGTGCTCCTCCCAGTGAGCTCTTCCTGGCAGAGGCCTTTGCAAAGCTAGAGCAGGAGAACGTCACAGGGAGATGGGGGCTGACCTGTGCCTCTGTTCCCTCCTGTAGGCACTTGGACATTTGACCTTGGCATTTAAAACCGGTGACACAGTTTTGTGTCTTCTCATCACAAACCATCTGTGCATGCAGACATTGTTTATCCTTTGAGTCGGGATCTGTCCTTTGAGGGGTGTGCTAGCGCCCGCCTCCATGGCTGCTAAGGAGACTGAATGATATAATCTTATCGTGGCCTTGAGTAGAGCATGGCACAAAACTTCCAAAGAAAAAACCTCTGCAGATATTTCTCTCTTATCTGCACAGTTAAATCAGTGTGACTCCAAAGCCCTGACTGGTGTTGTAGGTGGGACATTGAAGGAAGAGTCATAAATGTGTTTCTGTTCCTGGCTTCAAAACTAAGCTCCTGTGTGACCTTGAAGGAGCCGCAAGTCTATCTGTTCTCAGTTTCCCAACATGTAAGAAGAGAACTGAGTGGAATCTTCTAGCATGGCTCCTTCAGGGCTTCTCTGCTGTGTTTACTGTGGTATCCCTGTCACAAGCAGTCGGGACAGTCACATATATGTTGTGTTCTGATCCCATTTCTCAGTGAGAGAGAGAGAGAGAGAGAGAGAGAGAGAGAGAGAGATGAGAGGAGGAAGAGGAGGGAGAAGGAGGTTAAAGGGAAAAGAAGGATAGAGGGAGAGGAGAGGGGGAGAGAGGGACCGATTGGGAGAGGAGGGGGGAGAGAGGGACCGACCAGGAGAGGAGAGGGAGGAGGAGATGAGGAGGAAAGGAGAGAGAGGGAGAAGAGGGGATGACAGAGAAAGGAGGGGAGGGGAGAAGAGGGACCGATTGGGAGAGGAGGGGGGAGAGAGGGACCGACCAGGAGAGGAGGGGGAGGAGGAGATGAGGAGGAAAGGAGAGAGGGAGAAGAGGGGATGACAGAAAAAGGAGGGGAGGGGAGAG